GGCAATAAATAAGAGATATAGATTAGAAAGGATGAAATAAAATGGCTGTAATTGTTTTTTTGCAATATTTATATGTAGTAAAATGACATGAATGTTAAGAACAATTAAACTGCAATGCCAATGAGAAGGAAAGATAAAGTCAAACAAAAGTTTTATAATATGAAGAAGATTATAAAACTGTACAGACAGTTTTTAAAGAATACCTACAGAAGTGGCGACAGCTATCATATTCTGGAATAGAAGGATTCAATAATACAAATATGTCAGAATTTCCTCGAAACAATTAATTTATTGTACTTCCAATTATGATCTTAATAGAGCTTTTGTGTGGCATCAACAAAAGATTTAAAGATTAACTCGGTAGAGTAGATGGCCAAGAGGCCCTGGTGGGTGGCTTGATGCTGCAGTTAGCAGCACTTACAAAGCATTTAGTAATTAAGACAGGGAAATACTGAGTCAAGAGTGGGCAAACAGACTGACAGCATAGAGTAGAGAGGTGCAAGAAAAAGTGCTTACGTATGGAAACATCACATTTGAAAGTGCTGCCAGACACATTAGTGAGAAATGAGAACATTCTCAGTGAGGGTTGCAGTGATGATCGGCCAACCATGGATCAAAATGAGCATGGATTCCTGTCTCACATCGTATGTAAAAGTCAGTTCCAGATACATGGGGAGACAACATGAGAGGCAAAATGTTAAAATTCTACAAAAACTAAAGGAGAATATCTCTATGACATTGGGGAAGGAAAGAGATTCTTGAGTAAGATACAAAAAACACTAACTATAAAAATTTATAAACAGACCTTAAAATTGAGATAATATTTTTATCAAAATCCAACATAATGAGAGTGATTAGAGAGTACCACAAACATGGGGGAATACATTAAGATATAGATCACAAATTATTAGCATTCAGAGTATATAGAGAACTTTTAATAGAAAGAAGAACATAACTCAATTTTAAAAATGAGTAAGGTGTAAATAGTCATGTCACGAAAAAAATCAATTTCTGATCAACATATAGAATATGTTCAACTGCATAATTAATCAGGAAATGAAAAATTTTTTCAATAGTCATATTTTCCGGTTAGGGCTAGGAAAAATATGGTTGCTTGATTCTAAATCTCTCAACACAGCCTTCACCAAAGCTTTAAGATAAACAAAGAAGACATGTAAAATAACACACGACCCATATCTTCAGAGTTAGTAGGAGACAGAATGGCGTGAGTTTCAAGTTACTGTAGATTTAAAATAATCACCACGTTCCAACAGAGCTGCCACTGGAATCCCAATCCCACTGGAAATCTGTGGGTTTGCAGGAAAGAAGGAAGGGCAATTAAAAAATCTCTATGCACATTAAAAAGGGAGGAGGGCATAGATGAGATATAGAAAAAAAAATCCACCAGAAAAAATAACTTCAATACCAAGTACCATTTGTAAGACTGGAAATCAAGAGTTCGCAACAGCAGCTACAGGTGTGAAGGCGTGCAGAGGTGCCGTGTTCCTGGGGGAGAAGAAGGTAAGTAGAGCAGGTGTAGTGCCCCTAGATTTGGTGGTGAAGTGAAAGCAGAGTGGAGTGAAATCAAAGAGGCTATAGGAGTGGAAGAGAAGTGAAACATGCAGATTCCTACTACTCCTCATCACCAGCACCACTGACATTAAAAGTGCTGTACTTCCCCATAGTGGCAGAAGAATATGCTACTGAACTAGATATTCATTCCATGAAATGCCTAGGAAGAAATGCAGAGAGAGACCAATTTTCTATTTTCTTGTTATCAGAAGAAAAGTCTCCCAGAAAAAAAAATGAAACAGAAGAAAGTAAAAATACATCATTCGAACCTGAATTAAATGAGCACTCAAGCATTCATTCAAACAAGCACCGACAGGTATAAAAAGCCCATCTATCACCAGAAATTAAAAAAAGAAAGGAAGGGGAGGAGGAGGATATGATGACAAACAAGATGAAGAAGACGAAGAAAACTAAGACAGAGATGGGAATGAAGAAGGGAAAAGAGAAGGACGGAGTGTGAGAGTTGATTAAACTAGTAAATAAATGAATAAATAAAATGAAGACTGCATTACAATGTGCCAAGAGATAAGAGATTCACTTTGCTAGGAAATAGATAATAGAGAATTTCTATATGTTTATTGTGGGAGCAGTGTGCCAAGAGATTCACTTTGCTAGGAAATAGATAATAGAGAATTTCTATATGTTTATTGTGGGAGCATGAATTGTACATCGATTTTGAATAATAGGTTGGCATTGTCTATTTAAATTGAAGATGTGCATTAAGATATGTATCATAGAGAGATTCTATATGCTTATTATGGGAATACGAATTGTACATCTATTTTGGACAGCAGTTTGGTATTAACTATTAAAATTGAAGATACTGTACTCTGCACCCAGTTTTTGTACCTCTAGCATGGCATATTCTGGAGCAAGACTCTGCAAAGGCCAAATCAGACCTACTGTCTGATTTTGTAAATAACATTTTATTGGAACATACTGTGTCCATTTGTTTATGTGTTGTGCATGGCTGCTTTCATGCAAAATGGAAGAGTTGAGTAGTTGCAACAGATCCTGCAGTTGTCCTGCAAAGCTGAAAATATTTACATCTGACCCTTTACAGTAAAAATCGCTGATGCTTAATCTAGACAAACTCTTGTATGTATGAAGAAATATGTGTGAGAATGCTCGTAGAAGAGATGAAAACTTCACAAATATTCATTAGCAGTAGAATAGAAAACTAAATAGGGATAGTTTCCAGTAATGGACAGCAGAGATAATGAAGGAGGTACAGACTTATGCAACACATGACTGCATCTTCAGATGAGCTGCTGAGTAAAAAGAATGAAGTGTGGACACTATGTTTCCACTTGCACCAGGGTTAAAACATGCAAAGCACAAAAGCACTTGTGTGTAGGTGCATAGTCTAGGGACTCACACGTGTGGAGTAAAATACTGAAGTAAGAACAGGTCAAGTTATTTTCATGTTTATCACAAGGGGACAGAGAAAAAACACAATCAGGGCAGCTCCTAGTAGAGTGTCCAGGCTGTTGGTTGTATTTTCTACCTTGAAGTGAATGGTGTGTTTGAGGCTGTTTGGCTTAGATTGCCATCTGCACTGTGTTTTGTTTGTGGATTAGTTTTTAAAAATTGCTTCAAATCTTAGATCAAATGATCATTGGATTTTTAGCAAGAGAAAATTTATCTAACAGTTATATTTTATAATTTCCAGAAATTATGTGTTCATGCTATTTAGCATACCCAACAAACACTGACATGGAAATTTTTGAAAGCTTAGTTAATGTGTTTATTTTCTCCACACTTCTGAAAGAATTTGTTGGATGCATCTGTCTATATGAATGTACACACATACACACTCATATGCAATATAATATATAGTTACATTCCATAAGCTTATAGGATAATTATAAAGAATAAGACAGTGGATACTGCATGATTTTTGGTGTTAAATGCTCTTGGTTAGGTGGTGGCTCTGCTGTCTCCCGTATGGGGATCCCTAAATGCTTCCTTCATCTCAGTGCTTTTACCCATCAGATGGGAATACTAATGATATCCACCTTTCCTAATAATGCTTAGTAGTTAATTCATGTAAGGAACATTTTCCATGTCACTCCCAGTCTCTAGCATGTGCTGTCTGCCTGTCTTTGCTCCAGGTTGTACGGCTCTCCAGGCGACATCGACCTCTGGCCTGCCCTAATGGTTGAAGACTTGATCCCTGGTACAAGAGTGGGACCGACACTTATGTGCCTCTTTGTTACCCAGTTTCAGCGGCTAAGAGATGGAGATAGGTGAAGGATTATCTGTTATACTTACCAAAGATAACGAAAATTGGGGTTTTTTGCTCCCAAATATGTATATATAATAACGTAGTGTGATTCCACCTTTCCTATGATTTAGAGTTTATTGAATATTGTAACAGATAGCATCTAGTCACTGAATTTGTAAGACTGCTGATATCAGATAGCATTCGTTTTTGTAAATCTTTGTAAGAAGAGAAAAAAAGAAATAATATCTCAGAAGGGGATAGAAGTCAGTGGTTAAGAGGCTGCATGCTGGGCTCACTAGCCTGTGTGTGAATCTGAGCACCACTACTTATAGCTGTTTAACTCTGGGAAGTGTATCACTCTAAACCAATTTCCTCCTCTGGAAAGTAACTGTTGCCTTGGCTTGCTGCAACCTTACAGGCTGTTGAGAGAGAAGGTGTTGATAGCAGGCCGGAGGCTCCCTCCCTCTGTTGTCAGGGAGGAGAACTGTTGACCAGTCCTCCCTGAGAAATTACCTGATAAATGCATTCACCTGTGGAAAGACAACTTGGAACTCTTCTTTAAAATCTCTAGATTTATCCGAAGGGTTTACTGTAAATAAACTTGAATTTGTGAAACTAGAGAGCTGGTTGGAGAAGGTAAGTTAGTCATGTAATCTCCATAATGTTTCAAGGCTAACCACGTATAAAAAGTAAGAAACCCAAACCTTAAGTAGCTTCCCCTGAATTGGCCTGTACTCTTTCATCAGAACTAACGTGGTTCAGGACATTTTATCTTCTGGATCATTAATAAAGTTTAGTGTCAAGTAAAATCTAGGATTCCTGTGAATCTGTTAGACAATTCAATCTTTTGTATCATTGCAGGGATGATGGTTATAAGACTGAAACACAGCCTAGCATTTAGTTTTTAATTAAAGTTGCCCTAAAAATTATTCTTTACTTAAAATTTTTCTTCTAAATCTCTTCCATTTATGAGTTAGTTACATTATAAAGAAAGTAGCAAAATATTTAATTCCCTAAATGCACATTGGCAATATTAATAGAACATTTCATTAAATTCACTTTTATAAATTATTTTTAATACTCTGGATTTCTTGCCTCATATAATTGGGTTCATATGTTCAATTGGCAATAACTGAAGAAGATATGTCGTCAAAAACTAAACAAATTTGAGAATGTTTTAGTTCTGTGGTAAGCTATCTTCCTGTGTGTATTAATCCATTAGGTTTGCTCTAACAAAGTACCACACACTGGGAGCTTCATGAACGGGAATTTATTTTCTCACAGTTCTTCAGGTGAGAACTCTGAGATGAAGGCACCAGCAGGGTGGTTCCTACTGAGGCCTCTCTTCCTGGCTTGTAGATGCATCTTCTCCCCATGAGTCTGTGTCCACCTGCCTCTTCTTATAGGGACACCAATCACACAGGATTAGGGCCTACCTATATGAACTTATTTTCCCTGAATACCCCTTTAAAGGCCCTATTTCCAAATACAGTCACCTTCTGAGGCACTGGGGCTTAAGACTTCAATATTTAAATTGGGGTGGGGGGGCACTCAGCCCCTAATGCCATGTGAGTGGCAACAAGTCTTTTCATTTACTATCTTAATTTACTGTTGTGTACCCAGCATGGTAAAAGTGCTTGGTATGTGACGTTCAAATGTTTATTGAATGAATGAATGAATATAAGGACTCTCTTTAATAGTAAATTTTTAAACTGTATCCTTTCATTTAAAATCAAATGTGTTTAATTATTTGGTAATATAACCAACTAGTAAATATTAATATAAAAAGCAGTATTTCCTTTGTGGCATACATGTCAATACTAAATTGCTCAGACAATTTCTAAAGCCAGTCCATGGAGTTTAAATTTAAAAATGTGTGGGTTTTTTTTGTTTTTAACTTTAAATACTTTACTTTGAATCATTTTGTAAAATGAGTAGAAAGTGATAGTTCAAAGGCTTGGGATTTAAGAATTTGATAAATATTGGAAGAAATTAAAAGTATACTTAGCGGAGAACAAACATAATCCTTTCAATGTGCTGCTCACTGTGGTTGCTGGACGCGCAGCTGAGTTCTCAGGCTGCAGACCCACGACATGGTGCCTTTCTTGTTGACTACCAGGTTTTGGTATGAAAACCCCGGAGTGTTTACCCCCGCACAACTCACCCAGCTGAAACAGGCGTCATTGGGCCGCGTGCTTTGTGACAACGGTGACAACATTCAGCACGTCCAGGCTGACGTCTTCGTAAAGGCAGAATACCCACAGGATTACCTGAGCTGCAGTGAGATACCAAAGATTGATTTGCAAGTGTGGCAAGACTGCTGTGAAGGTCAGTATAGCAGTTACCTCTCTTTGCATTTATGCGTGTGTGTAAGTGCCTGTCTGTGCTCGTGGCTTTTCCAGGGTCAGGGGTTATGCAACTTAAACAAAGAATCACAAAGAACTGCAGCACAAAACTTTCTTTTCCTTCTGGAAATCAAGTGGATGTTGATGGGGTGGAAAACAGGAAGGGCAGAGGCTACCCGGTGTACCTGACCTCTTCCATTCCATGCTAACCTTGTTAGAGTGCAGAGGGCCTCTCCGTAGCACTGGCCTGTGCTTTCTTACCACATTTCGGGTTACTGCACCGAAGATCAAATCCCAGCCTCGTGGCACCTCTTCCATTCCATGCTAACCTTGTTAGAGTGCAGAGGGCCTCTCCGTAGCACTGACCTGTGCTTTCTTACCACATTTCGGGTTACTGCACCGAAGATCAAATCCCAGCCTCGTGGCATTGAATATACCTAATACTTGGGGATCAGCTGACCAGAGAGAAAGGAAAATTCATAGTAACCTGGTAACTTAGACTAGTTGCACCCCATAGGATGATGCAGCCATGTTCATTGGAAACATGGGGATGTCCCATGATTCTATCAGAATCAGATAAAAAAGTTTCTCTAGTGACACCATATGACTTGTGACATCTACAGTATCGCCTGTTATGAGCCAAACTCTCCCTGAAGTGCTCCATAAACACCTATGTCATCCTCACAATACCCCTTGAGAAATGTGGACGAGGAAAGTATGGCAGAAAAACATTAGGTGACTTGCGCATGGCCCAAAATAAGGAGGTGGTGAACCTGGGCCCAGGAGATGTGCTGTCTGCTGATGACTACAGATGGACGAACGTTTGCGGAGCAGAACATGCTGACGTTCTCACAGCTGAGCAGGCGTCTGTCACATGACAGGTCTCCACCAGCACACGGGCACATGGCCATGCCTGTCAAGTGCAGAGGCTGTGGGTCTGGGGCGGCTCTGCTTTTCTCTAGGAATGAAATGATCGTCGTTCCCATCACAGAAGGAGTACCGGGGATTCACTGGACAGGGGAGGAGATTATTTGCACCCAAACATCATAGAGTGGGAAACACAGTAGGACACCTACCCCAAAGCACAGGGGCATCTCAGTAGCGGTCACTTTGCTGTCTGCAGTGGACTTTCATGGCACAGAGCAAAAGCAACTCAGTATGCAAGGAGGGTGGTCTTTTCCTCACTCCCAGTTCTTGGTGATTGGGTACGTAAATAATCAAGTATTTCCAACTCTCCAAAACATGGGAAGCAGGGAGGCAGGCCCACACGAATGGCGACTAGTGACACCCTGCTGCATCTTCTCCAACGTGCCTCGCACTGGGCTTGGGGCAGAGGAAGAGAGTAGCTGGCCTGGCAGGGAGTGTGCCAAGAGGAAGGTAGCTGTGCCCTGTGTGGGAGGCAATGGCCAGGGCTGTCACGCTCAGCTGTCCCATGTCTGGGTGCTCTTGCCTCTGGGGTGACTCATGGAAACACCTATCTCACACAATCACCACGAGTCTTTCAAGGTGGGTGTTATTATCCCAATGTTACACAAGAAGAAAACGAGGCTCCTACAAGCTAAGGACATTTTGTAAGGGCATGGCTGACCTGAAAGCCTCTTTCCTCTGTGCCCAGCTTCTCCTGATAGCACCTGTGGGACAGGTGCAGGACAGAGAGACAGTGAGCATGCTCAGTGAAATAACACAGAGAGAGACTCTGTAAGGGAATAATGAGTTTAATTGGGAAGTAAAGATTGAGATGAGAA